CAAAGCTTGGGGACAAACCTTGTCATAGAATTTGGGAGATAAGGAAAAAGCCGTGGTTGCAAGGGCCAACCAAACGAAAGCATGAAGGAGGAAGTTATTGTGCGAAGCCATGAGGAGTAAACTAGAGTGAAATTGCTTAATTTCTGATTGATATTTCTGTTGTGACTCTTTCGATGGTGGGTTTCGATATTTATAGCTAGAGGGCTAGGAATTAATTTAAGCTGCATGGATTTGTTAGGTTTGGACAGCTGCAATGATTGGACTGGTTCGTAGGAGCTTTTGTTTACCAGCTCAAAGGGCTTGGCCATTCAGCCAAGCAACGAGGAATATTCACCTCTATTTACATCATAGAGTAGGCTGCCAAAATTATGATATATGTCACTCGTTATATATTTCCATACTCGGGATAAATAATTAAAGCTGAAATTTGGAGTTCTAGTCCACACATAAAAGCTGCTAATCAGCCGTTAGCTAACAGACAAGCAAAGCGCCCACAGTATTTAAAACAGAGGCCATAGCTTTAGATACTCTCCATCGAAAACAAAAACTTTTTACAAAGAATAATTATACAGGATTTTTAATTTTAAATTAAAAATCGGGATTTAATTGTACAATTAGAAGTAAATGAAAATTATATCTCATTCACACACAAAGAAATAAAAGAAGAGAAAGACTATACTAAATACTTTTTGAGAACCACTCTACTTGACTGTAGGAAGATTGATTCTAGCTAGTTGCCTAAAGGATGTGGTTGGAGGCTTCAGGTTTGGCCGCTGGCGGCGTGCCAAGGTGCGGTTTTCTGACCTTCTTCACTACGATTTAGTAGCTTGTTCATTAATTTCTGTTACTTATTCGACTTTGCTTTGAGTTCTTCTTTGCATCATAAGAATATAATTTAGAGTTTGAAAAGGTAGTGCTCTTAATTATTAATTTTGTCTTCTGCACATATATAGCTCATGTTTTTATCATGGTAATGTGAACAGGGCGAAGCATGCACCTCGACCTATGATGCATGGGAATTTTTGTTTTGACGACTTGGAAAGACTCCTCTTAGTCTCACTCTCAAATCCAGATGTATCCTCTTTTTATTTAATATATCTGGTATGCTTTTCAAAGGAAAAAAAAAACACTTATAATGAATGCTATAGATTGAGTTGGCATTAGGATGACAGCCTTAAAAATATGTACTAAAAGCTTTGAAAGATCAATTAGACAAAAGGTTAATTAATTAATAAAAAATATCTGGAGTTTGATCCACTATACTATATATACATTTATGGGAATCACAAAATTTTAAGAATAAATTGTATCCAGTGTTATGTTCAAATACTCCTGTAGTTTCAAATGTCACATTTTTTCTCTCAAACTTTTAATTTGTATTAGAAATGTCATTTAATCATATAATATGAAATAATTAAGGTAAATTAAATAAAAATTAATAGATATATAGGAATTAAAATTTTTACATATCAATATCTCTAATTCTTTTTTTTTCCTTTCTTTTTCTTTCTTCCTTTCCATTTTCATTTATTGTTAATATATAAAAACAAAAGAGAAGCAAACGAGTTAGGAGCTGCCGGTGGATCTTTCAAACTATAACTGCTACCATAGTTAAGGCTACTTAGAGAAAATGTAACCTTAGTCAATGCATGAAAAGGTTTAACTACACTTTTTTATGAAATTTTATAATAAAATTAATATGCAGTCATAAAGCATATGGTTACAATCTAAAACTTATGATATAGCATTTAAAATATGTGGCTAAAAAATATATAATAACTACACAAACAACATATAAAATATATAAACCGTGCAATTTTAAAAAAATTTACTGCAAATTTTGATTTCTCAGGATATTGAACATAAAAGCAATTAAACTGCTTTAGTCCAAAGATGAATACATAATAATTCGGTCAATCACCTTAAGTAGTACAGTCAAAAATTTAAAAATATTAGTTATGAAAATATTTACATGTTAAATATATAGAATAGTTAAAAGAAACTATGTATGAAACAATTATTCCATGTTAGTAAATATCATTTTCATTTAAATTTTGACAAATCAATATTTAAAAATCATTGTGGGATCATTAATTATGTTTTACTGATCATTTGTTGCCATTTTGAAGGAATATATACTATCATTGAAGATCTACAAATAATTTTCAAAAAATATTAACAATGCCAATTAACACTGGTTAAGGTTGTATTTATTAAAAAAAATTGATAATTAATTGTGATGTCCCTTCTTGAATTTGATGAGAATAATGTACTGAACGAGGAAACCCTTGCCTAAAGTAACATTTGAACTACTCTTAACCAATACTATAGACCCTCGTTAACTTAATGTATAAAAATTTAAACGAAAGTGTGATATTCACTAAAATAAAATAATCATTACATAGGATCTTTTTTCTCTTACAATTATGCGATAATTTTTAATGTATTAAATAAAGATGTTTTTTAAATAATAAGAGCTTTTTTTAATGAAGAAAAAGTTCAATTCAATTACCATAGCCGAAATTATATTTAAAGGGGTTGAACGGCAAGAACTTTATGGGCCTGGGTTTGCAATAAACCCAAGGGATCATTGTCCATTCAGCTCAACGGCTAGCGAAAGCAACGGCCCCTGCTTCTCTTTCATTGGGCAATGCTCTTTCTCTGCCACCAAAATGCAAGCCGAGAGGCAGCAGCAGTCCTGGAAAGTAAGCATTCAAGCCAAAGCCCAGAACTTCAATTTCAAACTTCAAGCAACAAAAATCCTACCCACCTGGAAGTTCCACCGGTTCTCACTCCTGCTTAGGCTCCACAAGTTCGTCCTCAAACTCCAAGTGAAATCAAGATCAACACTTTCAATCTCCACTCAACATAAAAGAACCCTGAAATCCTCATTCCTCAAACTTCTTGAAAAACTCCGAATTCGCCGCTCGAAGAGAACCTTAACCGTCCAACACCCAGGTGTTAAATCTGTTCTAAATCGATTGAAACAGTTTGCTAATGAGGTATTGATAATTTCTTTTTTTTTTTACTTCATTTAATGTGCAGGTTTTTTCCCTAGCTTTGCTTTAATCAATTAAGCATGAAAATTGATGATAGAATCTTCTTTTATATGGTTGTAGAAATCAATTTACGCTGGGCCTTTGGTCATTGCGATTCTCGCTTCGCTGCTGCAATCAATCTCCAAGAAAGATATTAAGGGAATCATAACTCACGCTTCAATTATTCTGATGTACTGGATTTTATATTACAAGAGACATATAAAAGGAAAAACCAGCACCTTTTGGAGGGTTCTGATTGTTGGAACAGCTGGTTGCTGGCTTGCGCTGCATTTCGGTAAAGGCTATAGGTTTCAGAGTATGGTTGGAGTTGGATGGCATGGAGCTACGCTGCTTCTTCTGGGAATTGGTAATGCAGCCTGCCAGGTGATTTTCGCTCTTGTCAAACACCACTTCTCCCATAT